ATGACACTTGGCTACAATATAAAGCAGTGAGTATACAGCTTGTATAATCGTGTAAATGTGCTCTCCCCTCAAAATAACGCAACACACAGCCTTTAATGTCTAAACTGCTGGCAACAAAAGTGAGTACACCCCTAAGTGACAATGTCCAAATTGGGCCCTAATAGCCGTTTTCCCTCCCTAGTCTCATGAGACCCATTAGTGTCAGAAGTCTCAGGCGTGAAGGGGGAGCAGGTGTTATTGCTCTCACTCTCTCAGACTGGTCACTGGAAGTTCCACATTGCACCTCATGGTAACGAACTATCTGAGGATCTGAAAAAACTAATTGTCGCTCTACATAAAGATGGCCTAGGCTATAAGAAGATTGCCAAAACCCTGAAACTGAGCTGCAGCACAGTGGCCAAGACCATACAGTGGTTTAACAGGGCAGGTTCCACTCAGAACAGGCCTTGCCATGGTCAACCAAAGAAGCTCGTGCTCAGTGTCATATCCAGTGTCATATCCAGAGATTGGCTTTGGGAAATAGATGTATGAGTGCTGCCAGCATTGTTGCAAAGGTTGAAGGGGTGGGGATGGGGTCAGCCTGTCAGTGCTCAGCCCATATGCCCCACACTGTATCAAATTACTATCCAGGCTGTAATCCCAGAAGGAAGCCTCTTCTAAAGATGATGCACAAGAAATCCCGTATACGGTTTGCTGCAGACAAGTAGACTAAGGGCATGGATTTCTGGAACCATGTCCTGTGGTCTGATGAGACCAAGATAAACTTATTTGGTTCAGATGATGTCAAGCAGTGAGGCAACCAGGGGAGGAGTACAAAGACAAGTGTGTCGTGCCTACAGTCAAGCATAGTGGTGGGAGTGTCATGGTCTGGGGCTGCATGAGTGCAGCTGGCACTGGGGAGCAACAGTTCATGGAGGGAACCATGAATTCCAACATGTACTGTGACATACTCAAGCAGAGCATGATCCCCTCCCTTCGGAGACTGGGCCACAGGGCAGTATTCCAACAGGATAACAACCCCAAACACACCTCCGAAACGACCACTGCCTTGCTAAAGAAGCTGAAGGTAAAGGGGATGCATTTGCCAAGCATGTCTCCGGACCTAAACCCTATTGAGCATCTGTGGGACATCCTGAAACGGAAGGTGGATGTGCACAAGGTCTCTAACATCCACCAGCTCTGTGATGTCGTCATGGAGGAGTGGAAGAGGACTCCAGTGGTAACCTGTGAAGCTCTGGTGAACTCTATGCCCAAGAGGGTTAAGGCAGTGCTGGAAAATAATGGTGGCCACCCAAAATATTAACACTTTGTGGGAATATTTTCTCTTCTCTTTCTGTTCCTCCTCTGAGTACTGGTAAGCGGCAGAAAAGGGCTAGCTGGTCCCCTAAAGCCCTTGAGTTTCTTTCTCAGAGCTTCAACGTTTGATGTGCTTTCTTCATAGTTCCTCTTGGCTGTGCCATTTGTTTTCACTTGGATGAGAAGAAACAGATATGCATCTGTGGGTTTTATGAGCAATGGCAATCCTGTCAATCCCTGATCTGTCCTCCAGGGAGACAGCATACTTGGAAATCCATGGATCTCTCTCAGCATATTTCAGTTAATTCATCTCTTACAGATAAATGTCATCAGATTTATTCCATGTAAAGACTACTTCCATGAGCAATTGAGGAAACCCCTTTATACTGAAGAGCATCTACAGTATGACGTCAAGGGTAGGGTATTTACCGTATTTTTCGCACCATAAGACGCACTTTTTTCCCACAAAACAGGGGCTTCAGTTAATTCATCTCTTACAGATATATGTCATCAGATTTATTCCATGTAAAGACTACTTCCATGAGCAATTGAGGAAACCCCTTTATACTGAAGAGCATCTACAGTGTGACGTCAAGGGTAGGGTATTTGACAAGGATATTTAACATGAGACCTGGGTTCAAATCCTCACAAAGCCATGGAAACTCATGAGGGCTGGGGTGGCAACAATGCAAACTACCTGTTAATAATTTCACATACATTGAAAACCCTGTTACGGCTGCCATAAGATTGAAACAACTTGACAGCACATAAGAAGAACAGGAAAGTATACTGGTAGAGATATAAGTACTAATGGGGACTGGAGGACAAAAATTAGTATTACTATTATAAGGAAGTCTGATATTCCAAAATATACATTCTGCAGTATTTATAACTGATTTTAAATGGATATGTGACAAGAAGGCATTGTTTGTATTTATTGCTTATAATATGTTTTTATGATCACTTGAAGTACCAATTATCTTATAGTTGTCTATTTCAAACATGCTTTTCTTTGGAGTCACAGGATTTCCCAACAGACATTGGGCATTCGAGAGCAATAAACACAGGCTCTCTGGAAATTGTGGATGCGATCAGACACGGAAACTGTCTATGGACAAATGCTGGCTCTACGGCTTGGAAACGGGGATGAGCACCGCCCCCTAGAGTCGGACATGACTGGACTAAATGTCAAGGGGAACCTTTACCTTGGTCTGCTGCAGGGATGGGTAAGTTCATTTCTTTTTCCACAGTCGCATGACATAATCATTGGAGCAAGCCAAACTGCCCCCAGAGCATTCCTATGCACATCTTTCTGGCCCATGAAAAAGGATTTCTCCTGTTTGATCCATTTCCATTGCATTTGATCACAGGAAACAAACAAAAAGTCAGCCTTCCTCTAATTTGCCAATATTGTAGAGTGGCTTAAGAAGAGAGCCACTTTAGAATATTGGAAAATTAAATACTTCCTTGGCTCTGCGGAGGGCCTGAGGAAGTATTTTTTTTAAAAAAAATTGAAGTGTGTACTAGAGCAGCAAATATGCACTGCCTTCGAGAATACATGCACTGCATCACTTTAAAAACAGCACCAGGTATTTGGTTAGTGAATTAGGTTCTTGTACACATACCTAACTTCTAATATACATAATTAATGCTGTTTTTAAAAATAATGCACACTTTACAAAAAAAAAGCCAACTTCACTTAGCCTCTCCACGAGCTGAGGAATATTAGCATATTGACAGCAGGTGGCTGTGGACCAAATAGGGTCACTTGAGGTCTGTGTGCCATTTGGATGTGAGGCTCGCACCAAACGGCACACTGGACCTCCTAGCCTTTTGGCCTGATCCAACCTATTCCAGTTGCCATGCATAGATAAGCCAGTTTTCTCTCCTGATTTTACATATTCAGAAGTCCTTGAATGCTGTGGAAAATAAGAAAAGAGAATCCCCCTTAACTCATGAATTTGACTGTGTAGTCTTTGGCAATTCCTTATCTCTCAGACTTCCTTAATTTACAATAAAAGCATTTGTTGTTAGGGTGAAAAGATTGGGTCAGAACTGCGTATCATAACACAGCGTGGCTCAAATGTTACATGTGAAGGACACAACTTAATTCATGGGTGCTGTTACCGGCAGAGAGTACATGTTGTGTGTCGTTCTGGCCTCAGATAATTTACAAAGGTAACTTGAGCAGCGTATCATAGTGTATCAAAACATTGTTTCAGCCTTTGTTCAGATTGTTTCAATTAATCCCCATTGTTCAGATGGTCTAGGTTTTAAAACTGATTTGTTTAGAATATTTCTGTCCCACCTCCCAGAAATTCAGTGCAACTTACAATCCAACAACATTAATGTTTTTCTTCATTTCAGGGACAGGTCTTTACAATGAAAAAGAAATTCGGTAGCTAAAATGGTGGAGCTGTTAACTGCTTAGTTGCACTGAGTAGTGGTCATGAAATCTAGCTGCAATGTGAGTCACTGTCCAGACAAAATGAGTGACTTCCCTAAATCACGAGGGAGGGCAAGATATAAATACTTTTATCTTGTCCCCTGTGGGAAGAAACAAAGGGAAATGGAGTAGCTAGTACCTCTCCCAATCCCATCCCCATTCCTTTACTAACCAATAGGAGTTTCCACAAAACTGATAGGGGCTTCAGGATAGTAATGTTTACTGGTACCTGGGCAGGAAGGAAAAGCATAACCTCACTTTCTCTCTCTTCCTCTCCTTTTCCCATGCTCTACATTCCAAGTACTAATCCTTCCCATACCTATTATTTCTAGTAAATGATGGGGATGATAATGTTCATGAGGATAAGCATGATGCAAGTTCAAGTAGCATGTTATATGTTAGTGTAAAATGAGATATTTATTGCAATTGGCATATAAACAATCTCATGAGGCTGTACAGTGGTGCCTCACTAGATGATGATAATCCGTTCCACTGAAATCGCTGTTTAGCGAAATCATTCTCTAGCGAAAAGCATTTCCCCACTGGAATGCATTGAAGCCTGTTTAATGCGTTCCAATGGGGAAGAATCGTCATTTTCTAGCGAAGATCGGCCATAGGAAAGCCGCTTTGCGAACTGCCGATCAGCTGTTTAAATCGCTGTCTTGCGAAGCTTAGGTCCCGAAATCACCTGTTTGCGAGCGCGGAGGGAGCTGTCAAAATCGCTGTCTAGCAAAAATCAGTTTGTGAAGCAGGGACCAAACATTGTCCAGCGAAATTCCCCCATAGGAATCACTGTTTTGCGAATCGCTATAGCGATCGCAAAAAGCCAATGTCTAGCAAAAAAACTGTCATGCAGGGTAACGGTCTAGCAAGGCACCACTGTATATTTGGCAGTCTCGCATCAGGGTATTTGCTACAAGTACTGTGCATCTAATTTGATTTTTATTTTAGGTGAACTCTCTAGCAGAAAGCCTTGCTCTGCATGTCCAATGATCTAATTTTCTGCAATATTATCCTCTAGAATCATGTTTCCTTCTGCTTGGCTGTCATACTGAACCAGTTCAGTAAGTAAGTAAGTAAGTAAGTAAGTAAGTAAGTCAGTCAGTCAGTCAGTCAGTCAGTCAGTCAGTCAGTCAGGAAGGAAGGAAGGAAGGAAGGAAGGAAGGAATTCTACACTACAACATATCTGGGTGCGGAATCTACCTGGTGGTTGTGGTTGAGCCCGATATGTGTAATAGGGATCCCAGCATCTAGAACATGCATCTGTTCAATCTCCATATGCCGGTAGAGCTGCTGCAGCTGGGGTGGCTGTACACTCTGGAGCTCTGCGAAGTGGTTGTCTCCAAAGTTCTCAAATTCAGCGTGCAAATGATGGGGGTGATATTCCCAGTAGTGGTCAGAGGAAGGTAAAAGTAAGTCACCTGCTAACACACAAGAAAGAAGGTCAACTCTTTGTTTCTGCATAAGAAGAAAAAGCCAGCTACATTTGTTTGATTTGTTTCCGTTCCACAGTCGAGTGCATTTTTGCACAGAATAGACGGGATTTGATTTAGATTCCATTATTTGAGGCAGGATTTTGTTTCTACAGAACTTAAGAGGTTCAAATCCTGCTGTTGTTTTAGCAAACCAGACAACCTGCCAACAGCAGATATAGTTACAGGTGTCTACGTTGAGCTGTCTACCATTTAAAAGTGACCATGATATTGCTCAAGTGCATGATGGGAAATCTGAAATGACTAGAACCTCACAGCCACCCACTCAGTTGAGGGGAAATAGATAAATGGGTGTCCCTAACCTGAAGAGACCGAAAGCACCTATGGGGACTCTGACACTGCCTGAGTAGCTGTTGGATACCATGTCTGAGCCTGGATCTCCAATTTCTGGTTATAGCGGGGCCGGCCTCTAACACTGATGATCAAGGGCGTCCTAATAAATAATAGCTCTTGAAATAACTATTATTTCAACTTGATGGCAACCCTCCCAGGCTATACAAAAATCTATTTTACTGCAACACAGCTGTGCATCAGCTGACTTGCCCAAGGAGTGAAACAAACTATAATAACTTAATGTTCACCACACAGCAGTAGCATTTAAAAACTTCAAAGTATATGAGAGCAGCCAGCTGGATGGATGGACACCTGGCTAACCAGCTTAATTTGGTATCAACCTCATTGGTCAGATCATTCTGTAGAAAATACCTGTGAATCCTGAGCCTGTAAAATGAGCCCGTAAAATGTTCAAGCAGAATAGCCAGAATCCCATCTTCTTTGATAACAAACACATTAATAATTTACTAATACTTCTGATAAAAGTGCTAAAGACCCTTCCCTTTCATGCTTTCAAAAATTTGTTGCAGAAATTATAACATGCTCCAGATCCTTAACTGTGATATTATCTATTACATCTAACAACTAAGTAGCTTTTCAGATACATAATTTCACTTCTATATAATGAAGTGAAATAACTATAATCATGCTTAGGTAAGAAAGCAAACAGCTAGTCCTGAGTCTGGAAGCTCTCCTGCATTTGGTGTAGGCAGTACAGCTCTTTGATGGCTCTGCTCATTCCTGAAAAGATGCTTCTAGCAGTTGCTGTTTGCTATTGGGTACCACTTGATTCAAGCTTGTTTGACTGAACCATGCTGTTGAAAACATATATGAAATTACTGAGGCTGTGGAAGTGCTAAATAACTGCCAGGACATGGTGATGGACGGGATGAGTGGCAGTAAGCTGAAACTCAATAAGAGCAAAACAGAGGTATTATTAACAAGTGATGCATCTGCCCACATGAATGGTGTTGGTAGTTTGGGAGTGTTCCTTGGTCCATCTTTGTCACTAGATGGATGATACATCCATCTAGGATGACACAGGATGATACAGAGTGCCTTGCTTTTCCTGGTTTAATTTGATACATTGGTACAGGTCTCCATGGATACATGTGGCTTGAATTCAGTAACCCATTTCCTTTCATTTGGAGCACTGTGATATACTGTGAATCAAACTAGAATTTACTGTTAGCAAATTATTTGAAATAGAGTTGTTTTAAGAGTTAAAAAATATCCTCATCTCCATATGTTAAAACTGGCTTGCTTTTATGTTGCGATAAGTGATGTACTGAAAATTTCTCCCATGGGAAATATCAATTATTTTCTTACAATTTGACAGAAAATAAATTTCCATTAAAAATGTTTAGAGGAAAAGAAATCCTGGCAAATTTCTGGCAAATTCTACATGCATGCCTTATTTTTCACTGTACAACCAACCTCTAGGGCATTTGGCAGTCTCGCCACCCTTAACCCAGCTTCCCACACTTCAACTGAAGCTGAGGCAAAGTTTCCTTATTCTCATGCGATAACTCCTTCCACAGGACTTTTTCAGATTAGGAACTGTGAGTAGTGAGGAATGCTATATAGTGATCAAGAAATGTGTAGAAAGGAAAGATACAGTATATGCCTTTCTTTGGCCATCTCACAGTGCTATGGTGAGCTTATAAAAAAAAAGAGATAGATGGCTAACCTGAATAAATTCTGATTGCAATCAGAAAGGGAAATAGCTTGCAGTCCAGTGGAAGCTATGTTCTGGTGATCACATTATATGCAGGCAATAATAGTCCATCCCAACCTAGATCTTTGGTTCAACGGGACCTTGCTGTGCATGGTTACCCTTTGAGGGGGTGAGGTGGGATGGAGTTATTCCCAAATAGATAGAAGAGTTTCTTTGAGGGAGATTGCTCCCTGTAAAGTGACATTTCCTATATGTTTCAACACAGTCCTTTCTTGCCATCTGATCATGCCCTCTAAAGGTCCCTGAGAATGTAGTAGAAGCCTATTTTGTCCACAAATAAAACTTAATGTCATAAGACTACGAGCTTTTTTCTGGAGCAAGACATGACGCTGCTCTTTCTCTGCCAGGCTGATTGGGAAGGTGTTTTATTTGTAGACAAATAATAATAACAGTAATCATGTGCTCTCAAGTCATAGATAGAGTAACCAGGTTTACCATTCCCTTCTTCTGGGGGCATCCTAGGACCCTATAGCTTGCCCAAAGCCACACAGCCTGGCTCTTCTTACAAGAGGCACAATGGGGAATCAAACTTGCAACCTCCGGCTCCATAACCAGATACCTAACTCAGTGAGCTATCCAGTCAGCTGTTATAGAGAAATGTACCCACAATGATCTTCCTAACGTAATGTAATGTAATATTTGGATATCATGGGGAAGGTGCTAAATGCTGAAGTGTTGAGCCAAGATTTCTTAAAAGATATTTTTCTGATAAATGTTCTGTGATTTTTCTTTTTCTTTTCTACCTGAAAATACAAAGCCTCTTTGAAAATTCATTTCCATCTCCACCAATATTTGGGGGATGTCAGTCTCACCACTATGAACACTACATTGCTCCAGATAGAGGAAACTGTAGATGAAGAAAATGGTGACCAGGCTAGCAATACAAGGGACATTATTGTCAAAACCAAACCAAACCAAAACCCTTACAGGACCGAAAAAAAAACCCACCCACATACAAAACAAAAAAACAAATAAAAAAGATTTTGCTACTATCATTGTTTAAGAGTAAGGAGGTGTCACTGGAGATACTGTGCTATTATTAACCATTACTACATACAGACATGAACATTGGACAGTGAATAAAGTTAACAGGAACAAGTGATTCATTCAAATTATAGTGCTGGACAAAAGATCTACAAATATGATGGACTTCTGGAAAACAAATAAGAGTATACAGTATTCGCGAAGGCTTTCTTGGCCAGGATCTAATGGTTGTTGTGGGTTTTTCTGGCTCTTTGGCCGTGTTCTGAAGGTTGTTCTTCCTAACGTTTCGCCAGTCTCTGTGGCTGGCATCTTCAGAGGACAGCACTCTGTGCTGGAGAGCACAGAGGAGAGCCGCCTCGAGTGGTCCTGAGTTGACTAGATAGGCGGGATATAAATAAAATAAATAAATAAATAAATAAGAACAACCATCAGAACACGGCCAAAGAGCCCGAAAAACCCACAACAATCAAATAAGAGTGTACTAGATAATATAAAGCCTGAACTATCTCTAGACATGAAAATGACTAAACTAATCCTCTTATACTTAGGGCATATCATCAGAAGACAAGACTCACTGAAAAACACAATAATGCTGGGAAAAGTTGAAGGCAGCAGGAAAAGAGGAAGACTGAACACAATATGGATTCAGTCAATAAAGGATGATAAGGCCTTGTGTTTGCAAAACTCCAACAGGGCTGTTAATGGTGAGACCTTTCCAAGATTACTAATTTATTTACATAACAACAATGCAGTATGTGGGACAAGCTATACTTGTAATTCCTTCTTCTATACAAGTATTAAAGGTACAGGGGCCCTGTTCTCTTTTACATGTGGCCAGCTTATGATTAAACAAATCTTAGGGTCACCTAGCTCAATATTGTTTATTCTGTCTGGTCGCAACTTTGCTATGACTGAGACTGGTTCTTTCCCAGCCCTTCAAAATTCTGTCAGCTGTTTGTAACTAAATCTGAAATCATTAAAGTATAAATCATGTATTCTCTCACTGAGTTATCATTCATTCTAACTGATACATTCTTTATATTTTTATAGTGTCCATTAGGTTTTTTCCCCCTCTAATTTTCAACTTTCAAACATAGCGGATAAGATTATTAATGGCTGCTAATCGTGACAGTCCAGCATCGGTTGCATTCTGCCTGAATATCAGTGCTTAGGAACATAAGTGAAGTAGGGCAGTGGCATTCCTGCCCTGCTCATGGGCCTCTCACAGGCATCTATCTGTTTGGCTGCTGTGGGCACAGAATGCTGGACCCAATGGGGAAGTTTCTTCCAACATCGTTCTGTGGGGAAAAGATGGTGGCCTTTTTTGCTCAAAGGAAATATCAGTTGGATCTTGGTGGCCTTTATATGGTGGACTCATTTTGAAAAATATTATGTGAAGTGAAAGAGGATGTGAAAGAATTGTTGTAATGACAAGGAGAGTGTTTGTCTTTAATGGCTTGAAAAGGTTAAAGAAAGGACAAGACTCACTTCTCTCTCTTTCCACACACAAGAAGGATTATCTGTTGAGACAGAGAACCAAATTGTGCAGTGAAAGGTTTTCTGTCATTCTCTTGTGCTCTAATATACTTTGCTTTCCCCCCTCATTGATTAATTATTAGCTGCTGGCTAGAAAGCCGTCAGAGCTACGCCTGCTGTTTATAGTGCTGTCTTGATTTCATCACACTCTTTCTTTCTTTCTTTTAAACATTTTAAACATTTAATAAATAATGATTTAATATTCAATTAAAAAATTTATATAAAACAAGCTAAGATAAAATTAAACAAAATAAAAATGTGAATTTAATCATCTGTGGCAATCTGCAGTCTTTTTTTAGCTATTGATTTCCTCCTACTTTTCTAATTTGTGACTGGTGGGGTGATTACTACTTTAAATCTCATCTCTCTTTTAATGAAATTGTGCCAAAATTTAGTACTGACACTAGTGGATAGACTTCACTATAGAGGAGAGACCAAGACCAAATCATGAAGAAAATGAGAAAAATTTGAAGACATTTGTCTAAACTCATCTTTCCTCTCTCACACACACTCCTGTTTGTTCAGAGACATCTGTTTATTTATTTTAAAAATATTTTGGTCCACCAAAATATTGGGTTTTACCTCAAAGGGTAAACGCTAGAATAATTCTACAAAGATGGAACTTAGATGGCTTGTTTCTTAATTTAAAACACAAAATCACAATATTGCATATACTCTGACCCTGCAATAACTTGGAATCATGGGAACACATAAATAGGGAAGTCATGCTGAGCAGGGGAACTCCATGTTTTGTGAATAAAACTTTCATTGAAGTGCAGCATATAAATCTTTCAAATAAATAAACAGTGCACAATGTACTGACAGCCATACATCCAAAAATGTTCAGGGTCACAGGCTATGCAGACCTTTATTTTTGCTGAAACAGGCAAGACAAAAACAATAAAGACATTATCTTTTTTCAAACATGGACATTGCTTTTTTAGTTATCAGAAATGGAAAGATACCTCATGTAGCAAGTAATCTGCAGCTGCAGGACTGGTGGGATAAATAAAGATACAGTATATATATAGTGTTATTTCCCCCTTATTTCTTTTCTAGATCTATATGAATATTGATTGGGCTTCCTTCTGACTCTACACCACAGGTTGGTAATTTGATTCCCATGGAAATGAAAATCATTCAACATGCTTGTCTCTTGGCCTAGTTCACTATACTAAATTAACTACTTCTGGTAAGCAATGCAGCTTAACTGAATATTGCTGCTGGTGTTAAATATTACAGGATATGGCACTACAGCTGCCACTCTTATTTCCACAATCTTTATAATTTACTTACCACCATGACTATCTCCATCATTGTTGAGATACTGGTAGCTATCATGAGACTGTCTGTACAGGTCTGAATCATAGGAAATCAGATCTTCAGAGGGCTGTAGAGAAAGAAAGAAAAACCTGTTAGACATGAACACCCAGACCAACACTTTGTACTTGTCTGTCAAATATGAACAGTATACTAGAACAAGTGGTTCTCAACCTTGAGTAACCCAGGTGTTCTTGGACTCCAACTCCCAGGAATTTTGGGCAGCACAGCTGGTGTTGAAGGCTCCTGGGAACTGCATTTCAAAAACATGCTGGGTTATCCAAGGTTGGGAACCACTGTTCTACAGCATTTTAGCTATACAACAGTGGTCCCCAACCTTGGACCTCCAGATGTTCTTAGACTTGAACTCCCAGAAATCCTGGCCAGCAGAGGTAGTGGCAAAGGCTTCTGGGAGTTGTACTCCAAGAACATCTGGAGGCCCAAGGTTGGGGACCACTGGCTATACAAGATTTGAAAATTCTTTCCTTCTTTCCTCAATGACCTTTTCTGCAGTAAATACTCTCAAGCACTGATTGCTCTTCTCAGCATTTTAAACTTTATTCCTAAATCTTCTGCATTTTGTTATGTGCCACATGTACTGTATCTATGCTCTAAGCCTTTCTAGTTAGTCAAAGCATTCTCAAGTATCATGTTTTGTTCACTATTTTAAAAAAAAGTTCACAGCTATCACATAAATTCAGCTCCAGTATTAAGGTATACTATTTCATCAATTCATGATTCTACACACACACACGTAAAGTATATTGTATTAGCTAAAAGCCGTCACAATTACATACTATTTCATCAATTCATGATTCTAATTCCTGTTTAAATCACAAATATGCCAAGAATTCCAGTGGATTTTACACTCTCTGCAATAGTTTTTTTAAAGTTGGTAATACAACAGAATTTTGCCCATGCAGAATTGACCAGGGGAAGGATAGAGCGGCAGAGGAAATGGCCTTGAGAGAAAACCACAATAATATTTACTTTCTAATTACCTTTGAATAGTCTCTCCTAACAGTTTCAAAGTCAATTTCTGATCACAGAGTGGAGGCACTTCTTTCTTTCTTTCTTTCTTTCTTTCTTTCTTTCTTTGGCATGTGTATTTTTAAAGTGAAATGGGCTATTTTGCTACAGAAAAAAACCAAAAAAATACAAAAGGGCTTCGGGGGTTCTGATATAACTGACAATAAAATAAATAATGGAGAACATCCTCTATCTCACCTGCTCCGCAGATACACAGCCTTCGATGTTTAGGGACATTCATATACCTACCATCTAAGACAGCGGTTGGCATGGTTTGGAAGCAGAGTTCTGTGAAAGCAGTTCTCAAGGGGGTAAAAGTAAGTGTCTGTAAGTATTGCACCCTTGAGTGGTTTGTTTTCAACAGATAGTACCAGCTTCTCGGCCTTTTGGCTAAGATCAAGTCTAATTCATGATTCTTATTCCTGTTTAAATCACAAACATGCCAAGAACTCCAGTGGATTTTACACTCTCTGCAATAGTTTTTTTAAAGTTGGTAATACAACAGAATTTTGCCCATGCAGAATTGACCAGGGGAAGGATAGAGCGGCAGAGGAAATGGCCTTGAGAGAAAACCACAATAATATTTACTTTCTAATTACCTTTGAATAGTCTCTCCTAACAGTTTCAAAGTCAATTTCTGATCACAGAGTGGAGGCACTTCTTTCTTTCTTTCTTTCTTTCTTTCTTTCTTTCTTTGGCATGTGTATTTTTAAAGTGAAATGGGCTATTTTGCTACAGAAAAAAACCAAAAAAATACAAAAGGGCAAAAGAGAGAGGGACAAGGAGGAGGAAGTCGATTATAAAAACCTCCCTTCCTCTGCAGGATTAGGAACTGAAGGTATGGCCACACAGAATAAAAGATTGCAATTTTGACTACTTGTGGATATGTTTTTACATCTTTGAACCTGCCTGCAGTCTTTTCTGGGCTGGCGTGACTGTCAATCTCTCCAGCACTAACCAATCATTCCCTCTCACCTCTGAATTCAAAGACAGCCCCATCTTTCTGCTGAGTGTTCCTTTCTGTCTCCTGTCTATCATTTGTTGGCTTTTGATTTGTTCACAACAGTAAGTAATGAAATGTGTTTAATTCCTTTCCGTCTCCCGTCTATCATTTGTTGGCTTTTGATCCATTCACAACAGTAAGTAATGAAATGTGTTTATTCTATCCCCTACAAATGTCTCAGAGTAAGTATGGACAAGTTAATGAGAAAGGGGTGGACTATCTGGGGAACTTGTAACTAGTCTCATCTGTGAATCTCCGTACTTCTACTGGATAGCAAAAGAATTTTAACTAGTCTCATCTGTGGATCTCTGTACAGTACTTCTACTGGATAGCAAAAGAATTTTACCAGAAATGCAACAGTGGAGTGGTCTTTTGTGATCTATTTCCCAGTGGTCACACAACACACAAGGAAATGTATTCCAACCCGACCTCAATCCATGTGCATATGGAATCTTTTTGGTTGAACTGTAGGACTTCTACTTTTGGGTAAATAGAAACTGGTCCTGTTTAAGTTACCTCTTCTGGTATGATAAAGCATGTGCAGCTATCTGATTACACTCTGACTTTGGGGCAAAAGGATAGAGTTATCAAAGGCAATTAACAATTCGTTTGTCACTAATCCCCATTTGTGTTCATTAGGAAGTTAAAATACAGCATGTGATCTTCTAAGATATTTCCCAGATGCGTACTTATGGCTTTCACATTCCCACAACCAGAGGGTTTTCTGGTGTCCACGTAGAGTGCTCTTGGTGCTGATCAAAACTTGTTGTTTTCACAGATCTTTCAGACTCTATGGGCCAAAGAAGAGGAGATCCACTGACGTCAGCAGTAATGCAAGTTCCATAGATACAAGGATTCTTCTACTCCAGTTGGACTAATAATTGGATTAATCCCCAAGCCTTCATTTCCTTGGCTTTATGATGTACAGTATTTTATCCTATGATATACTTTAGGCTTTCATTTTCATCAGTGCTGTCTATGACTGTTGGCGTTTCCCTCTGATTTAAAAAAGAACTGGCCATTTTAGTGTTAGTACTAAATGGAATATTGATGTCTGTGGAATTTGTATTTTAAGCTGTTTTTATAATGTTTCTAGATATCCAGAAGACAAAGGTCATAACATGCCTATTGAGTGAATAAATCAGCGCTCCCTAACTTGGCAGTTTTGACCCCCAAGGGGGGGGGTCACAGAGTGTTTTCTGCCAAGGGGATGAAGACTGTCTTTATATGGTGTTGTAGTCCTTGTTAAATATTTTGAAGAAGTCCTTTTCTTTCTCTTCCTACTATTAACTTTCCCCAGTTTTGAACTGGTGGCAGTGGAGTTGGTGGCAGGAGCAGTAGGAGGGTGAGCAGCAGCAGGGGAAGGACAACAACAGCCTATTTATGCAAATGTGGTAGGGGGGTTGCAGGTTACTTGGCTATTATTAAAGGAAGTAATAACTTAAAAAAGGTTGGGAACCAATGGAGTAAATAAATGGATATTTAAAAATCAGCTGAACCACACGGAAGTCCTGAACAGCTTCAAGAGCAGGTTGTTTACCCACTCCAGACACGCTGGCACTCTAATTATCTTTTATTGTAAAATAGTGTTTGTTAAAACCCTGGTTTAAAAAGAGAAACAGAGATGGAAAACACGGGATTGTCATGATTTGGCACCAATGATTACAAGGTATGAAGTAAGTAACCATAATTCCACAGAAAAATGTTAATGTGGAAACACCTTGTTCCATACAGCCCCGATGTTCACTGACCCACTTTCTAGGTGTGTGTGCCATGTGATGGATGTGTTCCTCCACCCAGTGATTTAAAAAAAACCTTTATCACTTTTCCACCATAACACAAAACATAGTGTGGACACTAATATTGGGATTATCTATTCAGATCTAAAATTTAGGAATACATGAATGATCCAGAACAACTTCAGAGCAAATGGGAACAGCACCATGGTGTAGATGAGCCCCAAATACGTTGGCTGGGAGATTTTGGGGTTTTAGCTCAAAATCATTCTTCATTTCTGCTTCCTAATGTGCAGCATGTGGCATGCCCAGAGTATGGGTAAAACTAAGCAAACCAGGCAATGTGGGAGCCCTAATCGCTCAACCTTAATACCCATCACAGGACAAGTCACTGTGTTCAACTCCTTTGCCCCTGACATCCTCAGTATTCATGGATTCTGTGACTTCAGTATTTCAAATGTCCTGAAACCATTCAATGTCAGTCCTTATTAGGCCAATTTCTATATTTGAAAGCTTTCTTCTTCTTAAAGATGTGAGGGTTCACCCCCACCCAGAAAATGAAAAATAAATCTCTTCCTCCTGTCCGCCTATCGAGCAAATACAAATATAGGGCCCTCTTCCTCCAAATTTCCCTGTTTTCTTCCTCACACCTTCATATCTCTACTGTACTCTTAATACCCAGGCACCTTCAACATATTCAGAAACCATTGCCTAACTTTTAGGCAGCCCCATCTCCCTTCCAAAACAATAAGCACCAGACTACAGCTGTGTATAAAGAAGCATCCTGCTTTTTAAGAACATGGAAACTCCAGACAAATATAGATATTATGACAATTACTGGTATCATGAAAGGCAAGGGCTTTTCCCATGTATTCTTACCAAAGTCGTCCTGTGGGAAATTATGTGTGTCTTTTGATATTTTGTTGTCAAGCTTCCCCAGATTTTTGCACTTGGGAAAGAAGAAAGCAATTGTTGCATGAAGATGCAAGGACTAAGTCTCATATATTTATCACTGGTGAGCAATTGTGGAAGGAGTCTCACATTTTCCACACTGGAAATAAGTTCCATTCTGGATACCTCTGAATTTCACTAAAGTGTGTGCAAAACCCACCAGAAAAGACTTTAAGCTTCATTTAATCCAGGAGTACATGCAGCCTTCCAAAATATCGTATGCCCAGTGCTAGTTATGACTATAGTGTCCTAAATGTCTTGGGTATAGGATAGTTGAAGGACTATCTCTCTGTATCAGCCTTCCTAGGTTTTAGGTTCTTTAGAGCAGCAGTCCCCAACCTTTTTGGGACC